CACCTACAACATCATCCACTCACCTACAACATCATCCACTAACCTGTTATCCACTCACCTACAACATCATCCACTCACCTGTCATCCACTCACCTACAACATCATCCACTCACCTACAACATCATCCACTAACCTGTTATCCACTCACCTACAACATCATCCACTCACCTACAACATCATCCACTCACCTACAACATCATCCACTCACCTACAACATCATCCACTCACCTACAACATCATCCACTCACCTACAACATCATCCACTCACCTACAACATCATCCACTCACCTACAACATCATCCACTCACCTACAACATCATCCACTCACCTACAACATCATCTACTCACCTACAACATCATCTACTCACCTACAACATCATCCACTCACCTACAACATCATCCACTCACCTAAAACATCATCCACCCACCTACAACATCATCCACTCACCTACAACATCATCCACTCACCTACAACATCATCCACTAACCTGTTATCCACTCACCTACAACATCATCCACTCACCTACAACATCATCCACTCACCTACAACATCATCCACTCACCTACAACATCATCCACTCACCTACAACATCATCCACTCACCTACAACATCATCCACTCACCTACAACATCATCCACTAACCTGTTATCCACTCACCTACAACATCATCCACTCACCTACAACATCATCCACTCACCTACAACATCATCCACTCACCTACAACATCATCCACTCACCTACAACATCATCCACTCACCTACAACATCATCCACTCACCTACAACATCATCCACTCACCTACAACATCATCCACTCACCTACAACATCATCCACTAACCTGTTATCCACTCACCTACAACATCATCCACTCACCTACAACATCATCCACTCACCTACAACATCATCCACTCACCTACAACATCATCCACTCACCTACAACATCATCCACTCACCTACAACATCATCCACTCACCTACAACATCATCCACTAACCTGTTATCCACTCACCTACAACATCATCCACTCACCTACAACATCATCCACTCACCTACAACATCATCCACTCACCTACAACATCATCCACTCACCTACAACATCATCCACTCACCTACAACATCATCCACTCACCTACAACATCATCCACTCACCTACAACATCATCCACTCACCTACAACATCATCCACTCACCTACAACATCATCTACTCACCTACAACATCATCTACTCACCTACAACATCATCCACTCACCTACAACATCATCCACTCACCTAAAACATCATCCACCCACCTACAACATCATCCACTCACCTACAACATCATCCACTCACCTACAACATCATCCACTAACCTGTTATCCACTCACCTACAACATCATCCACTCACCTACAACATCATCCACTCACCTACAACATCATCCACTCACCTACAACATCATCCACTCACCTACAACATCATCTACTCACCTACAACATCATCCACTCACCTACAACATCATCCACTCACCTACAACATCATCCACTCACCTACAACATCATCCACTCACCTACAACATCATCCACTCACCTACAACATCATCTACTCACCTACAACATCATCCACTCACCTACAACATCATCCACTCACCTGTCATCCACTCACCTACAACATCATCCACTCACCTACAACATCATCCACTCACCTACAACATCATCCACTCACCTGTCATCCACTCACCTACAACATCATCCACTCACCTACATCATCATCCACTCACCTACAACATCATCCACTCACCTACAACATCATCCACTCACCTGTCATCCACTCACCTACAACATCATCCACTCACCTACAACATCATCCACTCACCTGTCATCCACTCACCTACAACATCATCCACTCACCTACAACATGATCCACTCACCTACAACATCATCCACTCACCTGTCATCCACTCACCTACAACATCATCCACTCACCTACAACATCATCCACTCACCTACAACATCATCCACTCACCTACAACATCATCCACTCACCTGTCATCCACTCACCTACAACATCATCCACTCACCTACAACATCATCCACTCACCTACAACATCATCCACTCACCTACAACATCATCCACTCACCTGTCATCCACTCACCTACAACATAATCTACTCACCTACAACATCATCCACTCACCTACAACATCATCCACTCACCTACAACATCATCCACTCACCTACAACATCATCCACTCACCTGTCATCCACTCACCTACAACATCATCCACTCACCTACAACATCATCCACTCACCTACAGCATCATCCACTCACCTACAACATCATCCACTCACCTGTCATCCACTCACCTACAACATCATCTACTCACCTACAACATCATCCACTCACCTACAACATCATCCACTCACCTACAACATCATCCACTCACCTGTCATCCACTCACCTACAACATCATCCACTCACCTACAACATGATCCACTCACCTACAACATCATCCACTCACCTGTCATCCACTCACCTACAACATCATCCACTCACCTACAACATCATCCACTCACTTACAACATGATCCACTCACCTACATCATCATCCACTCACCTACAACATCATCCACTCACCTACAACATGATCCACTCACCTACATCATCCACTCACCTACAACATCATCCACTCACCTACAACATCATCCACTCACCTGTCATCCACTCACCTACAACATCATCCACTCACCTACAACATCATCCACTAACCTGTTATCCACTCACCTACAACATCATCCACTCACCTACAACATCATCCACTCACCTGTCATCCACTCACCTACAACATCATCCACTCACCTACAACATCATCCACTCACCTAAAACATCATCCACCCACCTACAACATCATCCCCTCACCTACAACATCATCCACTTACTTACAACATCATCCACTCACCTGTCATCCACTCACCTACAACATCATCCACTCACCTACAACATCATCCACTCACCTACAACATCATCCACTCACCTGTCATCCACTCACCTACAACATCATCCACTCACCTACAACATCATCCACTCACCTAAAACATCATCCACCCACCTACAACATCATCCCCTCACCTACAACATCATCCACTCACCTGTCATCCACTCACCTACAACATCATCCACTCACCTACAACATGATCCACTCACCTACAACATCATCCACTCACCTGTCATCCACTCACCTACAACATCATCCACTCACCTACAACATCATCCACTCACCTACAACATGATCCACTCACCTACATCATCATCCACTCACCTACAACATCATCCACTCACCTACAACATGATCCACTCACCTACATCATCCACTCACCTACAACATCATCCACTCACCTACAACATCATCCACTCACCTGTCATCCACTCACCTACAACATCATCCACTCACCTACAACATCATCCACTAACCTGTTATCCACTCACCTACAACATCATCCACTCACCTACAACATCATCCACTCACCTGTCATCCACTCACCTACAACATCATCCACTCACCTAAAACATCATCCACCCACCTACAACATCATCCCCTCACCTACAACATCATCCACTTACTTACAACATCATCCACTCACCTGTCATCCACTCACCTACAACATCATCCACTCACCTACAACATCATCCACTCACCTACAACATCATCCACTCACCTGTCATCCACTCACCTACAACATCATCCACTCACCTACAACATCATCCACTCACCTAAAACATCATCCACCCACCTACAACATCATCCCCTCACCTACAACATCATCCACTCACCTACAACATCATCCACTCACCTACAACATCATCCACTCACCTGTCATCCACTCACCTGTCATCCACTCACCTACAACATCATCCACTCACCTACAACATCATCCACTAACCTGTTATCCACTCACCTACAACATCATCCACTCACCTACAACATCATCCACTCACCTACAACATCATCCACTTACCTACAACATCATCCACTCACCTACAACATCATCCACTCACCTACAACATCATCCACTCACCTACAACATCATCTACTCACCTACAACATCATCTACTCACCTACAACATCATCTACTCACCTACAACATCATCCACTCACCTACAACATCATCCACTCACCTACAACATCATCCACTCACCTACAACATCATCCACTCACCTACAACATCATCCCCTCACCTGTCATCCACTCACCTGTCATCCACTCACCTACAACATCATCCACTCACCTACAACATCATCCACTCACCTACAACATCATCCACTCACCTACAACATCATCCACTCACCTACAACATCATCCACTCACCTACAACATCATCCACTCACCTACAACATCATCCACTAACCTGTTATCCACTCACCTACAACATCATCCACTCACCTACAACATCATCCACTCACCTACAACATCATCCACTTACCTACAACATCATCCACTCACCTACAACATCATCCACTCACCTACAACATCATCCACTCACCTACAACATCATCTACTCACCTACAACATCATCTACTCACCTACAACATCATCTACTCACCTACAACATCATCCACTCACCTACAACATCATCCACTCACCTACAACATCATCCACTCACCTACAACATCATCTACTCACCTACAACATCATCTACTCACCTACAACATCATCTACTCACCTACAACATCATCCACTCACCTACAACATCATCCACTCACCTACAACATCATCTACTCACCTACAACATCATCCACTCACCTACAACATCATCCACTCACCTACAACATCATCCACTAACCTGTTATCCACTCACCTACAACATCATCCACTCACCTACAACATCATCCACTCACCTACAACATCATCCACTCACCTGCCTCATCATTGTGTGCTACACAAAAACAATGACCAAACAAATAATCTTGCACGCAAAACTCCAACTACATATGTACCTCATTAATTTTTCTTTGAAATTTGCTGTTGTAGGTTGAGTGTAGGTTTAGATAAATTACAGATCCCTCTGGTGGAGAAGGTGATGGAGACACAGATACCTGTACCCCCAACTGTTACAGGGAAACATGTCAAGGTAAATACAGGTCTAACCCTAATGCTTAATGTTGTACATCAACATTCTAACCCTGCCACTTTATTTTGTACTTCAACTCAAACATTTGAACCTACCACTTTATTTTGTACATCAACTCAAACATTTGAACCTACCACTTTATTTTGTACATCAACTCAAACATTCTAACCCTGCCACTTCATTTTGTACATTAACTCAAACATTTGAACCTACCACTTTATTTTGTACATCAACTCAAACATTCTAACCCTGCCACTTCATTTTGTACATTAACTCAAACATTTGAACCTACAACTTTATTTTGCACATCAACTCAAACATTCTAACCCTGCCACTTCATTTTGTACATCAACTCAAACATTCTAACCCTGCCACTTCATTTTGTACATTAAAACATTTGAACCTACCACTTTATTTTGTACATCAACTCAAACATTTGAACCTACCACTTTATTTTGTACATCAACTCAAACATTTGAACCTACCACTTTATTTTGTACATTAACTCAAACATTTGAACCTACCACTTTATTTTGTACATCAACTCAAACATTCTAACCCTGCCACTTTATTTTGTACATCAACTCAAACATTTGAACCTACCACTTTATTTTGTACATCAACTCAAACATTTGAACCTACCACTTTATTTTGTACATCAACTCAAACATTTGAACCTACCACTTTATTTTGTACATCAACTCAAACATTTGAACCTACCACTTTATTTTGTACATCAACTCAAACATTTGAACCTACCACTTTATTTTGTACATCAACTCAAACATTTGAACCTACCACTTTATTTTGTACATTAACTCAAACATTTGAACCTACCACTTTATTTGAACCCTAAGTATTGTACTTTTTTAAGAATCAATATGGCTTGGAGATTTCAATCAAGATTAATGATTTACCAGTAGAACCTTTGACCTTGCACATCCCAGGCATCTTACCAAAAAAAAATAAAGAGGTAATTACCAAAAGTTATCTAATTATCTAATTAAGATAGATAGGTATATAGATAGATCACAACTGCTTATTTATCAGGGGTGTTGCAGGGCACTCTCAGGATCCACCTGTTACGGCAGGGGTGCCGATTGCGTCCCTTGGTTCATTTAGCCAACGATTTATAGTACTCACCATTTCCATAGGGTATGGCGCTCTTTAATATGAAGGAAGGAAACACTGGTGCTCACTTGGCAGCCCGAGGCGCAATGGCTCAACCAACAGGCCTTATTTGATTTAGGCACGGGTACACTAGTTTATATACATACTAGTGTACCTGTTTTATGCGTTGCTGTGGTCCCAGAAGAAAGGTTGACGCAATATTGTACGAGGATTTTAATAATGTATTTTTAGGCACATGACCTTGAAGACATTACAGGTTACACTATTGTAGGATATGCCCCTGGTTCATTTCATGTCACTATTACATGGTGCCCTTTAATATGAACTTAGGTGCCATAGTGCTAATGGGGTAGCCTGGGAGGTTAACCCTGCTGGAGCCCCTGATTCGACTTGGTTAACAATTATAGTAGCCCATTGTATCCATAGTTTATCTTACTCTTTAAATTTAAAACAAACGTAGGCGTGTAGTACTCACAGGGGAGCCTTGGGCGCCAAATCCCACCCTGCTGGGGCACTGGCAGATGTACGCTTTAAAACAAATGGAAGGACCATAATGCTCACTGGAAAGCCCAGGGCCCAAATACTAACCTGACGGGATTATCTCTAGTGGAGATATAACGTTTCTGTTTTTTTACAAACCTTTGAGTTCCTACAAGCGCTCTGTGATACCCCTGATTATCTCTAGCGGAGATATAACGTTTCTGTTTTTTTACAAACCTTTGAGTTCCTACAAGCGCTCTGTGATACCCCTGATTATCTCTAGCTGAGATATAATGTTTCTGTTTTTTTACAAACCTTTGAGTTCCTACGAGCGCTCTGTGATACCCCTGATACCTGGTGGTCGAAGAGGGGTGTTTTACCTCACTCTTACGAGGGTGATTAATACACACGCAATGCCTGTTTTAAATTGTGATGCAACATTCATCTGTTATTACAACACAGCACATTGTTCTGAAAACGAGGTTACTGTAGTAATGAGATTACTTTAACTTCCTCTAAGATGATAACGCGCATCGGGCAAGCTGTTTTAAGATCAACTGGCCAGATAAATCATCTGACCCATTTTTTTTTGTTCTGTTCAGTGGTTACAATGGACTCCACCACACTGGACTTCCCAAACAGAAGTCAAGCAAGCATCCTCTGTTTTTAATGTGCCTGATCACTTACTACGTAAGTTTTTCTTGACACTCATAAGCCCTGATGGTGGTGGGGTAACCTAATCTACCTACAGAGACCTAGAAACCTAGACTGGTTATTCCCTAACCATATTCTAAATTTTTTTTTAAATAATCAACTGATCAAGACTTTATTAAAATAATCAACTGATCAAGACTTTATTAAAATAATCAACTGATCAAGACTTTATTAAAATAATCAACTGATCAAGACTTTATTAAAATAAAAATGTGAACCAATCTTTATAAACAACAAATAAATTAATCTACACCTAACATAATCTTATCATACTAAACAAAACACAACAAACTAACTAAATTAATCTACACCTAACATAATCTTATCATACTAAACAAAACACAACAAACTAACTAAATTAATCTACACCTAACACAATCTAATCATACTAAACAAAACACAACAAACTAACTAAATTAATCTACACCTAACAATCTAATCATACTAAACAAAACACAACAAACTAACTAAATTAATCTACACCTAACATAATCTAATCATACTAAACAAAACACAACAAACTAACTAAATTAATCTACACCTAACAATCTAATCATACTAAACAAAACACAACAAACTAACTAAATTAATCTACACCTAACATAATCTAATCATACTAAACAAAACACAACAAACTAACTAAATTAATCTACACCTAACATAATCTAATCATACTAAACAAAACACAACAAACTAACTAAATTAATCTACACCTAACATAATCTAATCATACTAAACAAAACACAACAAACTAACTAAATTAATCTACACCTAACAATCTAATCATACTAAACAAAACACAACAAACTAACTAAATTAATCTACACCTAACATAATCTAATCATACTAAACAAAACACAACAAACTAACTAAATTAATCTACACCTAACATAATCTAATCATACTAAACAAAACACAACAAACTAACTAAATTAATCTACACCTAACATAATCTAATCATACTAAACAAAACACAACAAACTAACTAAATTAATCTACACCTAACAATCTAATCATACTAAACAAAACACAACAAACTAACTAAATTAATCTACACCTAACATAATCTAATCATACTAAACAAAACACAACAAACTAACTAAATTAATCTACACCTAACATAATCTAATCATACTAAACAAAACACAACAAACTAACTAAATTAATCTACACCTAACATAATCTAATCATACTAAACAAAACACAACAAACTAACTAAATTAATCTACACCTAACAATCTAATCATACTAAACAAAACACAACAAACTAACAAAGCAAGCTACAGAACTCTTAGCCAAGTTACAAATGTAACATGAATGGAAAAAAAAAATGATATAAGTAAAATAATGGAAACAATGTGAATGAAAAATATGTACATAAATATACATGGAAAATTTTCATATACTAAGTTCTACTAAGGCATCGAGTCAAATACTATCTAAAAATAAACAAGTAAAAACGTATTATCATAAAAGTTTTATACTTGTTTTATTTTCTACCTTTAAATAACGACATTTTTTAAAAATTAAGTCGACATTTTTTGGTAAGAACAATGTTACCATTTTTATTCTTTCCACTTCCCTCATTCTCAGTGAAGTCAAAAGCCCACATGACTCAAAATTCTTTCTTTTAAACCCCAGCAGTAAGTAGTGATGATAATTTCAAACAAAACTGATAGCATGTTTATCCTGGTATTCTGTGGGCTGTATAAACATCCAGTGAAACCAGACAATGGCAGAGGCATGGCTAGGGGAGGACGGTTGGCACCCCTGGCTTTGACTCTTAAGGGGCGCCAACAGGGATTTTATAAAAAGCTCTTGAGCCACTTTAGTTAATTATACCAGTAGAATTCGAGAAAATAGACAGCTACACAGCTTTACTCAATGATTTCACTATTGTCTTCATGCTTTTTGTAACAACAAACTAAATATTGTTAAGAGTTAGTGAAGGGAAAATAGATAGATTTAAAAAATACAAATATTTGCATAGAGCAAAGAGTAATAGGGTTTGCATATGTAGGGATAGTGTGGACAGCACTATGCCCAGCCGCCTTTATTTTCCCTCAAGAAAGCCAGGTACCCATCAGAGTTGGATGGACTCAGGGACGTTCTATTTACTCTAGCTCAGAGTTGGATGGACTCAGGGACGTTCTATTTACTCTAGCCCAGAGTTGGATGGACTCAGGGACGTTCTATTTACTCTAGCTCAGAGTTGGATGGACTCAGGGACGTTCTATTTACTCTAGCCCAGAGTTGGATGGACTCAGGGACGTTCTATTTACTCTAGCCGGGGTATGAGGTTTCAGGTTATCAGTCGTATGCTCTACCATGCCAGTTATGTTCAAGTTCAATAAAACCTTTAATGTCAAAGATCGATTAAGTTCAATGAAACCTTTAATGTCAAAGATTGATCAAGTTCAATAAACCTTTAATGTCAAAGATTGATCAAGTTCAATGAATCCTTTAAAGTCATAGATCAAGTTCAAGGAAACCTTTAATGTCAAAGGTTTAGTTCAATGAAACCTTTAATGTCAAAGATTGATCAAGTTCAATGAAACCTTTAATGTCAAAGATCAAGTTCAATGAAACCTTTAATGTCAAAGGTCAAGTTCAATGAAACCTTTAATGTCAAAGATCAAGTTCAATGAAACCTTTAATGTCAAAGGTCAAGTTCAATGAAACCTTTAATGTCAAAGGTCAAGTTCAATGAAACCTTTAATGTCAAAGGTCAAGTTCAATGAAACCTTTAATGTCAAAGGTCAAGTTCAATGAAACCTTTAATGTCAAAGATCATGTTCAATGAAACCTTTAATGTCAAAGATTGATCAAGTTCAATGAAACCTTTAATGTCAAAGGTCAAGTTCAATGAAACCTTTAATGTCAAAGGTCAAGTTCAATGAAACCTTTAATGTCAAAGATCAAGTTCAATGAAACCTTTAATGTCAAAGGTCAAGTTCAATGAAACCTTTAATGTCAAAGATTGATCAAGTTCAATGAAACCTTTAATGTCAAAGATTGATTAAGTTCAATGAAACCTTTAATGTCAAAGATCGATTAAGGATAATGATTAGAAAATAAGTGAGATTTAGGATCATTGTGAAAATAATAATTAGATGATTTGTGTCCTAATACTATTGTAAATCTGTACCAGTCTTCACAAGCCAATAATGAAAACTGCAATACTAAAGCAGGCAAGACAAACTGATCGGTGATGGTATTAATTACTTATTTGTGATCCAAAGTTTAAAAATAAACCTATACTATAAAGCTCAAATGGACTCTGTGACTTGTAGAAAACATGCATATAGTGGGGAAAAAAAATCGAATTATCACCATTGTGTAATATTTTTTAACTGATGCGTAGAAAACTCAATATTTTTTAGTTTCAAGTTTTCATTTTGCCAGTTAACATTTTAATTGACGAAAAATGCAAAGAATAAAATCGAAGTTAATGTATTATCATTATCCGTCACTAACATTTTAATTTTATCTTACAAATTGTACAAATTATTTCCCTTCACTAACATTTTAATTTTATCTTAAAAATTGTACAAATTATTTCCCTTCATCAAGATACACAACAAAGTTTCCCTTTCAAACCTGACTGTCTATGGGGCAAGTGAAGTAGAGTTCACTTGTTTCTGTAACCCTGGCATATGAAGAGATAGTGTTGTCAGCACTATGCCCAACCGCCTTTACTTTCCCTAATGTGAGTTAGGTATCCATCAGCGTTGGGTGGACTCATCAAGATACATGACTCAGGGAAAAAAAATTATCTCCTTTAGTTTGTTTTCATGCTGGAAGATAATTATAGAAGTTTCATGCATTGATAAAGTGCAATGCAGTCGGTAAAGCAAGGTATTTTTAATACTACATTAAGGGGTCGGTGTGGTCGAGTTGGTAAAGCTCATGGTTGCTAAAATAAAAAATCTCGAGTACGAACGTGGGGAAGATGAGGCACGATATCTGGGGACAACAGCTCTTCTCCAAAATCAAACAACTGCTGCCTTGTAGTTTATTCTGGGTTGGACAAAGGCTATGGAAGCAAATCCAATAAGAAAAGTTGCCACGTAATACTTCCAACATTAAAAATAAAGAACGAAGAAGAAATACCACCTTCATTATTTTATACTCTAAATGTACTGTTTACTAATTATTATTTTAATTAATATTTGATTTAGCATTATTGTTTGTGTTTCCACTTGCGTTGTTGTTTATGCTTGTGCTTATCTTTGCACTTATGTTTGTGTTTAATCTCGTGTCTGTTTCCATTTGCATTATTTTTTGCCTTGACGTTTGTATTTTTTCAAACGTCCATATTTACATATACAGCTTAAATTAAATATGTTATGTATTCCCAAACGCCGTCAGTGCAGGGTATGCTGCTTAACTAGCACACAGGTCATTAGTTGATCTCAAATGCTAGTGCAGGACCTGGCAAATACAGCTAGTCAATGAATAAAATAAAAATAGCATACAAATACAATACAACAATGTACATAATTTAGTTATATGCACCCATCATGTGGCTCTTAAATTATTCACCTTTCTTTATTACAGGAACTGAAGCTTTTTCTGGTTTACCTCCATTTCAAGTGTTATAACACCTATTTTATATATATATATAAACATTTTAAAAGTATATTGTTATATCAAACGTAAATAGTTGCACTAAGATACATCAAAATTTTTTAAAATGTACGTATTTATATATTTAACATATAAATTACAAAATGGTTTTTATGAATATACTTAGCATACACTTCATGTTTAATAAGTTATTCAGTGTAATATTATTCCAGTATGCTTATTTCTAGCTAATGAACATATCTTGAGCCGTTTTTGACCATGTATTATAGTGTGTATGTATTAATGTTCACTTTTAAACTCATAACCAACACATCATTTCATGTTTATAATTTATGTGATATCTAACTTAAGTAAAATGTTTTAATCTTACTGTCTCCTCGTGTTTCTGTTTTATCTTAGGACCCCCCCCCCCCCCCCAACCCATCTAAAATAATACTTATTCTGGCAATCTTTAAGTCCATGTTTGACTTACAACTGTAAGGTCCACACACAAAAAATCGACCTGGGGAGGTGGGTGGAGGTCCACTTATTGAATTTAACATCTAAACTTCACAATTACTAAAATCTCTTCCTGCCTGTTTCTGAATGAATTCCAGTTTTTTTCCCAGACTATACGAACCTTGACAGTATATATTTTAGAAAGAAATCTGTACTTAAATAAAAACAATTTTAAGAAATTCAGAAAGGTGGCAGGTTGAGGTGTGTCACTTTAGCTATTAAGGGGGTGGAAGGAGGAAAAGCTGACCTTTTGTGATAATAGGGAAGGGGTAAAAATATTTTTTAAAACGTGACGCTTATGTTTGAACCCACACGAAAACATTTTTTTTAAATGACTTCACACAGGGTTCCTCCACTATTTTGGACATGAAATTCCAGACTTTTTCCTGACCAGAGTTTCTTCCAGGTTAATGCCCCTTCGAACGAAATGAAATTTATATAATTTATATAGAAAATATATACTTTTAACAGTGCACGCCCCCCCCCCCCCCCGGAGAAAAAAGTCTGGAAGAAACACTGTTCCTGACACTTTCCAGACTAGAAAAATCCCAGAATGTATACAAATAATGTGTTTGAGACTAAATAATAAAATGATGCAACATGTGTACCCTCAGGGTTAAGTACAGTATAATGACATTTATTTTAGGCAATTGAGCTGTTTATATTGAACTTTCTCTAGCCAAATTGACAGAAAATGACTTTTCTAAGGTTGCCTACCCCACTCCCCCCAAACTTTAAATTATTAAAATAGTTGATTGGTATGATGAAATTCCAACTTTAAACTTATGTTAATTGTTCATGATCTAATTCTATTGTTTTCAATTAAATTATTACAATAAACCGGGAGTGATCTCCCCTAAACTTTCTCGAATATTCTAATATAACACTACGTGGGATGTCAACTCGGAATATAGACATGATTTTTGTTTACTTAAACTTTTAAAAATAGAATAAAATCTAGTAGGAAAAAAAATTGCGATTTTTTTTTTTTTTTTTTTGCACGATTACAAGACTTTCTCTATACTTCGTATAATCGAGAAAGTAAAAAAAGCAGTCCTATCAATTTGGCATAAATATTGAGTTTATTATTATTATTCTTTAGTCAAATAAAGTAATTTTCTAATTTAGGTCTATTGTGTTGAGTAGCCTTGACGTTTTTATCCTAAGTCCTAGATCTAGTAAATCGCATTTTGTAAATAATATGCTACTTGAAAAGTAATTTTTAGAAAAAAAAAAACAACCTGCATGTTGTAAACACGCAATTATTTATGCTCACAGCTGAGAAAATTTTGTATTTGTATGCAATAAATAAACTCCCCTAAACTTTCTCGAATATTCTTATATAAAACAACAGGGGATGGGAACTCGGGCTATAGACATGATTTTTAATCCATTTTAAATACTTAAAGTTTTAAAAATAGAATAAAATCTCGTAGACAAAAGAATTGCACACCAAGTGAACGCCAAATAAAAAAGTGCATAATAGTGCGCAATATTATTAGTACTTTAAAAATTTACATTAGTTTTTTGAGAACTCGGAAGTAGCGTAAATTACTACTTCCGGTCAACGGAAATTGTCCAAAATTTAACAGAAGGTAGAGAATTAGATCTTTTACTTACATGTGAAATTTCATTTATCTATCTGAAATAGTACTCAAGTTACAGGCTTTTGAAAAATTCAAAGTAGAAAAAGTACCACTTCCAGTTATCGGAAATCGCTCAAAAGTTGAAACGGATCTACGATTTTGATAAAATACTTATATATGAAATTTCATCAACCTAGCTGTAACGTAACGGTACTCAAGTTATCGTGTTTACTCACGGACAGACACACACACACACGGACAGAATTGCAAAGCCCAGTTTTTCAGGCTGGATTACGCATAAAACCTCTTAATTTTGATAAATCTGGATTGATAATTTTTGCCTGATTAAAATAAGTCCTCTATACTTCGGATGTGATGAAGGACTGAGATGTAATACGGTGAAAATTGTTACAATTTCATGTGATTTTTGTGCACAATTACAATACTTTCTCTATACTTCGTATATACGAGAAAGTAAAAATTACCAGTCCGTCCGCCTCCTCCCCCTCCCTACTACACACACTAGTTAAGATATCAGTGACCGTAGTTACAAGTAGGGGCGAGTTAGTCTAATGAATTAAAAATACAGATATATAAATTATACATAGACTACCACTGACACGCCTCTCTCATTAATTGTTGATATGACTGCCTGCCTGCAACTTTAGACAAACTTAAGGGTAAATAAAAAGAGGTCAAGATTTGTATGGACGACTATTCTTTCATTCAATAACAATTTGAAATACCACATTTACACGGTCAGTCACGCAATAAAAACAAAAGACTGAAGTATAACAATCGCCCCCCCCCCCCCGTAAGACGTAGTAACGAAGGGGTCACGCTTTTTAACCTCAACCCCCCCCCCCCCTCAAAATTGCAGTTGAATTTTTCTTAAAATACAATATTTTTCCAAAATCTTGTCTGAACTTGTTAACATATTTATTATTTTAATCAATTCCTATTACAATTTACTAAAAGTTTTCTAAATCGTGAAATAACGGCTAAAATTAGTTTTCTAACGCTTTTGTATAACGCTAAAGTGTGACGGCACATCTTCACCCCCCCCCAATCACAAAATTACGGATCCCCCTTCCCCCCCCTACGAGTGTGACGTCATTTATGGATGACCCCTAAGCAATCTTTTTTCTTCTGCGTTCGCGAAACTTCATTCCTAAATTTAGAACCTCTCTTAGCGTGGGGGCAAAAAAAACTGGAGTAGTTTCACCAAGTAGGCCTATGGGCTATAGCCTTTTTGTTCATTGTTAGTCGGTAAATATAGACTTATGGCAAAGTTTTGTTTCTAAAACTAGATTCCAGACTTGTAAAAACTACAGCCCAAAAACTAGCGACGTACTTTTTAAGTCTGAGACTGTGTTATAGTAGTGAGATAATTTTAGAATAAATGACTTAAAAAAGAAAAAGTCAGTATCAACATTTAATTTATTAGCAAAGGTATCCATATTGCATGAAATGTAAGGAAAAATATGGGAAATAATGAACCATCCATATCTCTTTGCTAAAAAAAAAAGTAGCCCAATATGAGTGCATGTATTTGACATGATAAAGAGATGCAAACATGGGGCTGGTACAAAACAGTTTCAGTAAAAATACTTTCTGCTGGTTGCCAGCGCCATGTAGACCTTCATGGGAAACCAGAAATAAGCCACCTTTTCAAAAAAAAAAATTTTTTAAATTAAAATTACTTTTCAAAATTAAACACATCATATTTATTACTGTTGCGAGTATAAAAAAGTAATTCAAAGTAGTTCCATGTTAAATATTTTCTTAAAATTAGGAAGTTATTTCAAAACTTGATTTTTTTTACAGTACAGCAAGTAAATGTAAATTGTAACACATCTTAATCATCTTAGAGTTAATGAAACAAATATAACTATAGATGACAATTGACAAAAATATATTTTGAGGAGGCTTTACAGCAAGAATTAAATACTTGTTAAGGATACAAATAATTCATGTTTTTAACGCTACACTTTAAAAATAAAAATATTTTCCTTTTTTTTTTAAATCAATAAATGATTGTGAAAGTTAAGATGCTAAAAAAATTACTACTAATAAAAAAACTTGAAAGAAAAAGAGCACAAGATGGCACCAGTCCATGAAACAGTCCACGTAAGAGCCAGCACAGCTTGTATCCAAGCACATTGGAGTAAAACAGAGCAACCATCATGCACGCTGCTGTACACCCTGATATGGTCAAGATTTTCCTTTTGTCTTTGAAGCTAAAGCTAGAGCAGCTTCTTTAGCTGTGAAATAATTTTAAATATCAATTCTTCAATATTCAATTTATTTCAACTATATTTAGAAAATAAACATTTAAAAAATCAAGGTATCAACAAAGTGGATTGGATTGATGTTATGGTGGATACCTTAACTTTATTACAATGGACAATTGACTGTTACATAAATCTCAATCTTCTTGACTTTTAATTCTATATCAACAATTGATGAGCTTGGTTCTTTTTAAAATACCAGACATGCTTATATCCAATAGGCTACATCTTATGAGCAGGACAGACCCCTTATTAAAAGAGAAAGTAATAAAACAAAAAAAGCATTTTTTTCGTCTAGGTGATTTGTATTTAATTTAGAAAAAGCATACTTACATTTCTTCTCTTCCTCTTTCTTCTTAGCTGCTTCTTCTCGCTGTTTACGAATAATAGCTAATCGAGCTAAATCTGCTTGTGCTTCCTCTGTTTTCCCTGCCAAATGTAGTGCCTGGTACCTCCTTCGAGCCTCAATTTTTTCTAGTTCTTCTCTAAAAATAATTTTTAAAAAATAATACAACAGTCAACACATAAAACAGCAACTTGCTATTAAAGCCTATTTCATAAACCATAACCATTTAAGAGATGTAGCAGTCCACCAATGACAAAAGCTTAAATTGTTTACAGGGAGGAGGGCAGTAATTATTGCAAACGTATTTTATAGATACTAAACTAAGAGAAACAACCTGCAACAATTTTTGTTTTAATTATTTCAAAAATATGTTGTTTGCTTAATCCTTTGCACCCGCTTGTACCTCTTTATCCGTCAGTCTTAAATCTCCATGCCCTGAGATACCCATAAAGCAGTATTAGCAGGGGTACCACTTATTTTTTAAGTGAATCCTGAAAATCAATCCCAAAATATTACCAATCCTGAAACCAGTGAATGAAAATTTTAAAACCCTGAAACTTTATTTCGCACGGAATTTCAAAACAAAATGGACTTAATTTGAATTCTCTTAATTGGCTTGTGCATTTAATATGAAATTGTGTTGACTAATACAGTAGATCTATATGATTTGGTTTTAATTTTTCTAATAGGTATTGGTAGTCTGTTATTTTAAACAAGTATAAACATAGACAGTACATAAAACAAAACCAATTTTTTCATAATCTTAAGAATGTTTCATTCCAATGCTCTTGATCAATAAAATGTTTCTTTTCCTAAGTTTCCAATAATGACTTTTTTAAAAGCTGAATTACAATTCATTTCATTACCCACTTTCCGTATATATATATACATTTTCTTCAGGCATCCCTACCGTTTCTTCCCCTTTTACCTCTGAGCGAAATTGTAAAAAAGTAATTCATAAAAAAATAAAGAAAAACCAGTATCCGCTACCCCCAACCCCCGATACACACCCCCCACACCCTCGACCGGACAGTTTTAAATGCCGCTCTCCATAGTAAAATATCTAAAAGAAAAACCGGGTAGCCTATTTGTAAAGAGACGAGACCTAAAAGTCACCAGAATTGCCAGTGTAACAGGTACCAATGGCTAGTTGAATAAGCCCACTATGTGCACGACCCTTATATTGTCACTGTATTACATACACAGTTGACTTGCTGTAGCTATTCAGGGCTAACTTCCACATAAAAAATCTAAAACCCTATTTTTCCCCAATTTACCACCAATGTCTCCAACCTTGATATACTTGATGACTTAAAAGAAATATTGTGGAAGTTTGTAAGTTCATATCATGGAATTACAGAATTTTTTTTACAGAGAAATCATTTCAGGATTTAACTATGCTAATACTTCTGTCAGAGATATAGTCGCCCGCCTAAGCAATTAAAAAAATAGCTATTTTTACAAAAAGTAAAAAATATAGCGCTCCATACTACTGTGATAGTTTAAAACCGGTTTTTATCAAGAACTAGTATGCCCATCCCAGCACATTGCCACTTTCTCAGAAGAAACTCAGTCGGCTAGTCACAGCATGGCCTGGGGCAAATCGCACACTGTCAGGGCAAAATTGAAATTTTTTTCCCACAGAAACCTCCCCAAAGTTTTTGCATCAACTTCCCAAAGTTTCATGGCGATTGGATGAAAGGTGTAGTAATGTATAAAAGGCAAACAAACACACACACATTGCTATATATATATATTTAGAATAATGCTTATGAATATATGTTTAAAATAGAGTTAAAGTAGAATATCAATGAACTGATACATATATGACCAAAGTACAACCACCCATGTGGGTGGTTGATTGATTCATTGATGTAACTCGGGGGTCTCCAAACTACGGCCCGCGGGCCAGATGCAGCCCGCGAGGTCTTCTTATCCGGCCCTCGGAGATCTTTTTGTCCACAGAAAAAAACAATTGTTGGAGGTGGCTGAGAAAAAATTCAAAAGAAACTGAAAATGTTACATTTGGTGCAAATGCCATTCAAGCAAATGTGGCCAGTTGCCCAGCAAATGACCTCCTTAAGTTCAAAGAAGGGCGGGTGGGTTTAATCGGTATTTGCCCAAGGAAGACTTTCCTAATATTAAAACTTTTGCATCAAAGTACCTTTCAAATTTTAGAACAGGATACAAACTTTATCAAGAATGAAGTAGGCCTACGTGAAGAACAATTTAACAACAAACTTGGACCTCGAGTGTGCTGTCAGTACCTGGCAGTGATTCTTTCGGACTTTTTTCTCGGGTGGGGGCTCTTGAAATATATATACAGGGTTCGTACTGCTTTTTGAAAATGAAATTCCAGACTTTTTCCAGACTTTTTTTGAAAAATTCCAGACTTTAGACAGATAATGTGTTAGCGAATAATTTTTTTAAATGATGCACTATTTTTACTGTCATTATAATTACTTATACAAAATTGACATTTATTTTAGGCAATTGAGCTATATTCATAGTGAACTTTCTCCAGCCAAATTGACAAAAAAACATTTTTTCTAAGTTTGCCTACTCCACCCTACCTAAAATTTTAACAATTAAAACAGGGATGTGACCAGGCTCTCAAAAAAAATTAGGAAAATTTTTGGGTCAAAATATACTATATCAAGAATCGTGCGCGACACCTAATATTGGATATCCTTTTAGTACTTATACAAACTGAACAGATATAGATGTAAAATATTGTACTTTTAATATAAAAACCGCTTCTTCATTCTTCAGGGATGTGACCAGACCAGGGAAAAAAATTAGCAGTCTCAAACCGTTATTGTACTAATTAATTGTTTAATGAAGCTAATCTTTTAAATAAAAGAAGTTTATGTTACTCTAAAATAACATTGAAAGTCTTGTCTGATTGCAATTTCATGTTTACCTTGTAAACAACTTTGAATTTTTTTTTTACAATGTCACAAAAGTGGCAAAAAAGTTTTATTTTAGCATTTAACTAATTTGAACTGTACTAATCTAGTCTAGTTGTACTCTTGTTATCAATTTAAATTATGCCTTATATTCTTTTAAAGATGTACAATGGTACAAATGTTAATCGTCAACCGTAAAGAGCCTAGTTCAAATTAATTGTAATTTAAAAGCTTTAGGTTCATGTGATAGAAAATAAAATCGACCAGATTAGCTGAAAATAGAAAGGGTCTGATATGTATTTAATTGTCAGGTTCATTAAAAAAAAATATAAGAAACTACATAAATACCAACCACCCTTTAAGTGACTAGTTCAAAATTTGTCCAAAACTTAAAATGTGGATTCTTGTACTATACAATTGACCCGCGACGAAGAATACACCGCTATTTATAATTTAGTTGTTTTATTTTCTTTTATTTTTCAGTAGTTCGTAATTTGTGAATTTGACACTACCAAATCTGCGACTGAAAATATTTTGCTTTGAAACACTATCAGTAGCTGTTGAAGGATGATTATCCACACTCTCATTTTCCACATCCACCTCCAAAGTAGAAAAAGTTCCACTTCAGGTTATCGGAAATCGCTCAAAAGTTGATACGGATCTACTATTTTAATATAATACATATATATGAAATTTCATCAACCTAGCTATAACGGTACTCAAGTTATCGTGTTTACAGACACAGATACACACACACAGACGTACTGACAAGATTGCAAAACTATGTTTTCCGACTCTGGGAGCTGTAAAACGTCGAGATTACAAGACTTTCTTGTACTTTGAAGAAGAGAATTATATATACAGATTTAGTGAGCATGAAGAGTGCAGAAACACTTTTTTGCACGATAATGATGACAGAAATAAGGGAGTAATGACAGTTGCATCGTGTTGCATTAGTAGCAAATGAGTTTATGCATTTCAACGTGTAGCAAAAATTCTGTAATAGCTGTGATTGGTTTCTCTTGACACTAACCTGGATGATATTAATTCAAAATCTGGCAGCTAGTTGATATATAAAAATTGTACCTTTCCCTCCTAGAAAGATTAGTGCCACCAGATTCTCCCATTTCTGTGACTTTTTTTGAACTTTTACCACCAGCTCTATTTGGATTTTCAATATCGATTAAATGTGAAACACCTTTTGGCTTTTCCTAGATTATTAGAAACCAATAACAAATTAAAAAATATAGCATTATTTATAAAGTAAAACATTTTTCTAGCATAAATTTAATTCCATTGTGCAATAAAATTAAATTTCCACAGATAGCACAAATCAGTTTAATAAGTACAATTTTTGTTAACATGACAGTTTAAATTTGTAATTTACCTCTTCATCATCGCTCCCTGTTTCTGACTCTGAAGATTCTGAGGGAGGCATATCCCTGTTTTTTGCTGCGGCTTCAACTCCATCCTTTTCTTCTACCACTTCTTCTTCGTCACTTTCAATTCCTTGTTGTCGCTGTACAGATTAAATATATATGTATATACCGGAAATATTTGTACAAGAAACTTTTGTGTCGGGCTGGGAAAAATATTTTAGGACTAGCGTGCTCATCTCCATCCATTGCCGAGGTCTTAGAAAAAAGTTTAATATTTTAAGAAGGTTTCATCAATGTGTTACCAGATGTGTGACCTTGTATTCTAAAACTGAGCTATTTCAATGTTAACAATGCCTGCACTATAATTTTTGGATCATATTTGTTGGGGCATGAGTTTGCCCACACAACCACCCAGCATGCTGTATGAATGTATTGAGTGTACATTAATGACTCTCCATTAAGTGTTTAAAAGGAATGTAGACACCATTGCGCTTACCGGAAAACCCAGAGCGCTAAATAGCACCCTGGCGCTGGAAGTTGTGCCTGATTTGATTTATCTGACAATAGTAACTCATCATGTTAATAGCCTATCGCACTCTTTAAAATGAATGTATGCAGCAGAGAGATCACAGGGTAGCCCTCTGCGTCACCCCTGCGAAATTGAAATTTTCATTCCCCTGGAGTATTCTCATCAACTTCCCAAAGTTTCATGGCGATCAGATGAAAGTTGTAGTAATGCATAAAGGACAAAGAAACCCATGTACTTTATATATATATATATATATATATATATATAGAGAGAGAGAGAGAGAGAGAGAGAGAGAGAGAGAGAGAGAGAGAGAGAGAGAGAGAGAGAGAGAGAGAGAGAGAGAGAGGAGAGAGAGAGAGAGAGAGATTAATAATCAGTTTTTAGTTAATCAATTTAAATCTCTAATGATGGTAAGGCATCTTTATCAGTAATCCTAACTCAACAGGGTGATATTTGATGCTCAAAGCTCATCTGTGAGCAACATGGCACATATGTTCGTTTTAAATAGTGATACCACTATGAATAAGATAGGTTATTATAATCATTCACTAAATCAAATCAGGCGCATCCACACCAGCGGTCTAGTGACCTGAAGCAGATATTAAGGCAGAACTGAAATTTGAACCATATCAGAAACTTTAACTGGAACAAGAATTTTAACTTGAATTTTTAATCAGAACCGGAATTGAACTTCAATCAGAAAAAAAAATTGACCCTAATTATTAACCAAAACCTTAATCGGAAATTTGACAGGAGTAGTACTGGAAACTTTAAACAACCGGAACCTTAACTTCAAACTAAATCGGATCATGAAGTTTAACCTGAACTGGAACATGAATCTAAAGCTGAACCATAACTGTAATCTGAACCCTAACCCTAATCATATGGTCAAATGTTATAACTCCCAATTAATCATCGGCAAGTTTAGAGTTTTGATCTTGGGCTGGTAATCCTGAGCACACCCAGCTCTAATGGGTACCTGATTCACATAAAGGGAGACTAATGTGGCAGGGCATAGTGCTGATCACACTATACCCAGGACACTGTAACAGCTGACCAATATTTTAACTGCCCATGTGCCTAAGGCATAAACTGGAAAAGATGATGATTAACCCAGATGCTAACCATAACCAAAGCCTAAATCGTAACGCTAACCCTAATCCAACAGCTATTTTTTTATTTTGCATTTGCATTACTACTATATTAATCGTATTAGCTTTTTGGAATTCAAACAAACACTTTTACTTTTAATGTTGGACAAATAAATTAGGCTGTGTATTTTGTGTCTCTGTTATCAATGACTTTTTATCCTGTGTATCCTTTTCAGCATTTGATTTTAAATTCAAATTTTTTTCTCTACAAATACAATCAATAATGTGATGACTTTTTAAAAATTTTATAAACTTTTTGAGCTTACTTTTATCTGACTTTTTTTTATACTTTCCTCTTCATTTTTGTCAAATATTACCAAATAAATTAGCCAGTAAATTTTTGTCTCGATAGGCAATGATATCATTATCTTTTCCAGTGTTCGTTGTTTTTAACTGAACACATAACTGGCTGTAAGTTTGTGTTCTGTGTTTCATTGGCCAATGTTGATCTAACTCTAGTATAATATACTATAATACATTCACCAACCATTTGATTACTTGCATTGCACATTGATTGGGAATGTTTTAATCAAAATGCATACCCTCCAAGCTTTTTCTTTTTCTGCTTTCTGGGCTTGTTCTCTCAATTCATCTTCATCAGTAAAATGCCTCCGTTGGCCCTTGTGACTCTTCTTACCACCTCTGCCGCCCGCTCCTCCCCCTAGAATATAATATTATCAAAACATTTATGGATTTAGATTATAACTTATCTGGATCTAGATTAATAAATATTGAATGTAATTAAAATTTTACAGCATAATGGTTTATAAAAACCATGTGGCTAGTCAGACCTGGGTCTGACCCAGCATTAACTTAGGTCTATGGTTACACATTACCGGTATTATTATTCAGTTATCTATAATATTTAATACAAATATATCACACAATACTTCTATTAAATCCTTAATTAATAACAACGAGGCAACTTTTTCTCACATTACTAGCCTCGGCCGATTTTACGCACCAAAAACGATACATTACCGAGAAAATATAGATCCAAAGTAAAGTTTTGCACGTGGTTATACAAACGCTGCGGCCATCCCCCTGTTTATCGCTTCGTATAATAATTGTTTGGATGTTTTATACAAAACTACTGATATCTGCTGAATGCATGTCCATTTTTAAATAGAGTAAAGTTAAATCAAACTGCTCTTTAGTAAAAATATTTTTAAAATTTATACAGCTGGCTGTCTAGCATGTGTGATATGTGCACTTATAACAAATGACCTCAAGTAGCAAAGTAGGTCTGTTTTCAATTTGCTTGAAGAAGGGGGAGACGGGGGGGGGGGGGGGGGGAAGAGAGAGAAGTGAAGACACCCACGATCTTGTGGTCGCGTATTCATTCTATGACGTGTACCATAGGCCTGCTGAACTCACAGTGACCCCTCGGCCGTGGTGGGATTTTTCACCCACGGGATAGTAAACGTAAGCGAGCAAACACGCGAGTGACGATGTTTGGAGATTTTATTATTTTTTTTAAATCACACGTCATGTTTTCAATATGAAAAAAAAAATGAAATGTAAAAAAAATACTCGGAGCTCCACGTCTATGAACTTCTGCTTCCACACTGTTGACTCAATATAATTTCGTCATTTTGCCTCCCAGCCGGCCTACAGGGCGTCGTGAACTTGTGTACACAGGTTATAAAATCCTGCCATGGTAATTGTGTAAACATAGGTTATTTTACTCACCGGAAAAAAAAACAACTTGTTTTAATAATAAACCTTAGTCTGGCTCATTGCTGAGATGGCGGGAACTTCAGCTGCCACACTCTTGACTCAATATAATGTGAATTGAGTGTAAAATGTATTTGTATTTATAGACTATCATAACTATTAGCCTACTATCATATTATTTTAAGCATATTTAAAATTAGAATTTGAAATAAAAATATTTATTATGGTCATTTGATTTATTTCATAAAATGGTATGAATAACATATAGAGTAGAATTTGTAATGTAATTTAATAAATAACTAGGGCCTAGATCTAGTTTTATTATCAACCAGTTTTTTTTTTTATTTTCCGGTGAGGATATAGCCTATGTTGACACAATTACCATGGCAGGATTTAAAAACTCGTGTACACAAGTTCACGTCTTCCTGTTATGCCGGCCGAGGGGCAAGAACGTGGTTTTGGCTTTCATTTTCCATTCTAGGATAATTTTAAAATTCTCTCTTTTCTCTGCCACTGAGTAAGCTAGATACTTAAATGTGGTATCAAATGTTCTCTTAAGGGGTAAGGAACAACCTAGTAATGGTGTATTTGAAATAACAGAATATTTAATTTTCAAAATCCATAATTAAAACTACTAGATCTAGAATGAAGTTCCACAACCGATCACACATAGCGAACTCCCGACTTTCATCGGGCACTATTTTGTAACACAGAAACAAACCCAAAGTACTATATTATTCCTCTGCCATTCTACTCTTAATATGTATCAATCATTTTATATTCCTACGCATAGAATTTGAGATATTCATGTTTTAGTGACGTGCTACTTGCGATATTTTTTTCCCCCTTTTTTTTTTCCTGCGGCCACCTGAACCGGCTAGCGTAACGCTCGTATTTTATACGTTTTAATCCAATTTTAATAACTAAAATAAATATTTTACACTTTTAAACGTGTTGTTGGTTGTATTATTAATTAATAGATTGCAAAACCAAATAAAAAACATGTTAATTAAATTAATTAACGACACATTAAAAGTTGACCCAGTGATGACTCAAGGGACGAAACTATTATAATCATAACAAAGGGACGTAACAATCACTAGCAAGACATACCGCAACATTTGCTTAGATATACTTGTATGTAGAGACACAAACTACATTTAGAAGAAGTAGATGATTGAAATAATTTAAAACAGAAAAAAATAGAAATTATACAGATACTAGGCTTAGCTTGATATATAGAGCATATAGAACTAGGCTAGTCTAGCTCAAGTCGTTGGTTATGCAGCGATGTGAAACCACCCTAATCGACACCCAAGCTGCGGCCACCCCATTCACCTCTCAGGTTGCTTTATTAGCCTTATCTATCGTATGTACAGTGTCCCGCACATATTGTAGAAGCTATTTATAGTTAACCTAGTTATAAAAAGCTTTGATTGGTTGGTTTTATTCATCTCATCCGGGACCTAGTGTTTTTCATAGGGGGAACTAGAATCGCCTACGACATCATACCTCGAAACTTTAAAATTTAAAAAACTCGACTACCAGAAGGAGAAAAACAAAAGAATTTTACCAGGATTAGGCTTTTGATGAGAATTACAGAATGATTTTTTTATTAAAAATGTATCAATAATAGCTAGAACACTTGTAAACTAAGCTAATTTAGCATATTTTAACTTTCTGTGGAACTTTATATTTCTGTGTTTTATGACTATTTGTTTACAATCAGCATGCTATGCTTTTAAAATTGGTAAGTATACCAAGTTACAAAATCTGCAATCTAACTAATAATTCACATAGTTTCAGTTTAAAAATAATAAAAACGATCATTAACAAAGAAAGCGTAAACATTCTATTTTAAGGTGTGACATAAAAAAACAGTCATAAATCTAGCCAAATGATTGGATTCTTGCGCGGTACACATTTTCCGGCGCCTCGTTTTCACCAAACAAGATTATAATAAAATGGCATTATTGGGGGGGGGGGGGTGATCGTTTTCCCAAGAACACATCTCATAAACCCAATAAATGATTAGCAGTTAATTGTAATGTGTGTTAAATTATTAGTTTAAAGTTTTTTTAAGGAACATAGGCTGGTTTTTAAGGAAAGCGATATTTCAGAGTTATTTGATTTAAAAGACAAGAATACATAGTAGGTTTAATTATGGATTTTTAAAAATAAAATATTCTGTTATTTCAAATACACTATTAAGTTCCTTACCCCTTAAGAGAACATTTGACACCACATCAGTTGACGAGAAAAGAGAGAATTTTAAAATTAGTCTAGAATGGAAAATGAATGACAAAACCCACGTTCTCGATCCCTGCCGGCATGACATGACGTCGTGAACTGGTGTGCACAAGTTTTTTAAGGGGTGTGTCAACTTAGGTTATTTACTCACCGGAAAATAACAAAAAAAAAACAACTGATTGATAATAAAACTAGATCTAGATCTAGTTATTTATTAAATTGGTAAAGGAAAATGTACATTACAAATTCTACTCTACATGTTATTCATACCATTTTATGAAATAATGAACACTTGCATAACTCAAATTACCATAAAAAATATTTTTATTTCAAATTCTAATTTTATTAATAAATATGCTTAAAATAATATGATTGTTATGATAGTCTATAAATACAAGAAATAGGCCTACATTTTACACTCAATTCACATTATATTGACTCAACAGTGTGGCAGCTGAGGTTCATACATGGTATTAGTGTCTTTTTTTTTTTACATTACATTTTTTTTCATCTTGAAAACATGACATAATGATGTTTTTTTAAAAATAAAATCTACAAACATCGTCACTCGTCACTCGCGTGATTGCTTGCTTACGTTTACTATCCTGTGGATGAAAAATCCCACCACGGTCGCGGGTCACCGTGAGTTCAGCAGGCCTATAGTACACGTCATAGAATGAACACGCGTACACGAGATGGTCGGTGTCTTGACTTCTCTCTCTCTCTTCCCCCCCCCCCCCTTCTTCAAGCAAATTGAAAAACAGACCTACTTCCCTACTTCTGGTCATTTTTAAAAAAAGTTTGGTCATTTTTTTTAAAGTTCACATATCAGTCAGGCATGCTAGACAGCCAGCTGTATAAAAAATATTTTTTTTAACTAGATCTACGTCTAGCTTAAAAAAAAAATTAATAAATGAACGCTTAAAATGCCCGTAAACAGAGGCGGAGCGAGGGGCGGGACGGGGACATATGTCCCCGGGCGCCGACCTTAGGGGGGGCGCCAAATTGAAAGTTTGAGGCGGGGGGGGGGGGGGGGTGCAAATGAAGTTTGAGGGGGGAGGGGTGCAAATCGAAAGTTTGTCCCCGGGCGCCAGGAAGGGTCGCTACGCCTCTGCCCGTAAACAGATTATTTAGTGCCAAAAAAAAAAAGGCAGCTGAACGAGCATTTTTTTAAAATATGCAGCAATGAAAAAGGCTAACGGCCGATCAATTAAGTCTAAAAATCGCCCGTAATTAGGCCTAGCTCTGAAAAAGGCCACTGAACGAGCATCACTAATTATATAAACGAATAGGCCACGCAAAAGCGTTGACATGGTTAACCACCGGTCACGAATTAAATGCAGCTACTGTCGGCCCACAGTGAAGAAAAAAAATCAATATACTAATAAAATTACTAATACAATAATAATTTCCACAATTTTACTTTTTCTGCATACGCTACAGTTGAATTATAATTAAAAAACTAGCCTTAACAGTTCATTCCGCAAAAAACAAAAACTAGTTGTTTCTGTGAGGTAACTAGCGTAACTATGACGTCACGATAGTAAACAAAGCGGACAGAAATGTTTGCATGGGTACCTCATATGGAAATTCGATATAAAAAAGGCGAATCAACATAACTGTAATTACTCATTATAAATATCTCAATTATATATTTCTGCATCTGTACCAGGGGGTTTTGACCATGTACTGGGCCGTTTAAGGCGGCAGTTCAGTTTTTCCCATGAATACTTGACAAGAATAGCGTGTATTAATTAAAACCACATATCTGGCGATTTTTTCGGTTATTTTCAGGCATAGCGTCCAATTATTTAGCATATCGCATTAAAATAATAATGAGAATTTGCGATATTAGCAGTTTTTTCATTTGTCGTGTATAGGACCCATAAAATAAACGTAAAAACCGTCAGAAAATGACGCCGAAATTTGACCGATGCTAGCCGGAATAAGATACGCATGCGATACTCATGCACAATGGAGAGAAACTACGCCTTGCCTTCGCGGCGATGTTTTCGATGGTACTGCGCATGCGTGTGTTTACAACCGCAGAACCCTAACACTTAACACTAACAACAACCCTATCCCTAATCCTATCCCTAACCCTAATCCAACCCCTAACCCTAGCCATAGGTCACTGCGCATGCGCAGAGCTATCTTTTGCTGAAGGCGTTGGGGGGGGGCGTAGACTTTCTTCGGGGGGGGGGGGCAGACACTGTTAAAATTATATATTTTCTATATAAATTATATAAATTTCATTTCGTTCGAAGAGATGCCTGGAAGAAACTCTGCATCAGCCTTGTTTTAAATTATCGATAATTGGTCGGTGCGTATGTCAACAAAGATTTTGTAGCCGCGGTATGATTGACATCAATAACTAAAAGTACTTCAATTTTTTTTCCACGAATGAAATTATATTTCTATAATTAAATATGTGTATCTACCTCTTGGCATTCTAGTTAGTGCTCTTTGGATATTTAGACCCAGTCAGTGAAGAGAAAGTGTTAACGTGCTGTGATGATGAACAGTTTCCGTATCGTAATGCAAAGTAGCTAATAATCGGATTTCAACGATACTTGTCAGTGACGATTTTATAAAAGCGTGTACTGAGAGGTCTAATATTTAAGCAGAGATCATTTTTATTCAGTCGAAGGGGATCAACCATTTAAGACGTCAATTAAAATTTTGAATTTTAAAAACTCCCGGTTTATTCTATAGGCCCTATTAATTTTTATTATTTTTTACAAGCTTTTATTAAACTTCCTTTCACTGTCTGTCGTGCTTCGTCTGACCGTCTGACGTCAAATTTGACTTAATTGGATGCCTCATTATTTTATACTAACACAGAGGCCCCCGGATCCTTAAAACTAACATAGGCGCCATAATGCTCACAGGATAACCCAGAACGTCAGCACCCTGAAACAATGATGCAGATTGCGCCATTCGCTAAAGTGACACAAATCAACAGGATTTTTACAAGCTTTTATTTAACTCACTTCCTCTGTCTGTCGTCAGTCTGTCGTCAGTCTGACTAGATCGAAACGCCGGAGCGAAAATTCGGACACTTCTACTTGACCGATACGATTCACAGTTGGCACGTGGGTCAAGACATGAAGACAATGCAATCTGAAACTAAATTTGACTTAATTGGATGCCTAATTAATTTTTTTATGAATTAATTAAAATTTGGACTGAATTAGTAGGCATGTCTATCCAACCACACCACATGAGTCATCACGTTCAATAGCTGCGCCATCAGGTTCAATAGCTGCGCCATCACGTTCAATAGACGCGCAATGGTTTTTAGTCATGTAACACTATCTATCTATCTATCTATATACTACTAAAACTCAAGTTTGTTTACATGTTTGAATATTTATTTTTTGTTTGTTTGTCTGATTTCGTACTGTAAGGAAACTGCTTTATATGGGGGGCTGTAAAATAGTATGTAGGTAGAGAAATTTTTTTGATTGCAGACAGACTGTTAATCACACATTTATTTAAAGACGTTAATTAATTTATTGATTTATTCATAGGTAGATTAACCACATATATTTTAAAAGATTAGAACAACCACTAGACTCGACGAAACAGTAACGTCACATTTTTTTGTTTACTTTTTAGTACAATAAAATGGCGGATTCCATCATAGGCCCATTCAAAAGTTTAACGCGTTCTAAATCTAATTTTCTGTCGGCAATAACTTTAACAATACGTCCGTTTGCTGTTTTTATTACGTTCCAACACTTATGTAAATTTTCAACTGTCTTTTTCATTTACGATTTTGATATAATACTTATATATGAAATTTCATCAACCTAGCTGTAACGGTACTCAAGTTATCGTGTTTACACACACACACATACACATACACACACAGACATACGGACAAGATTGCAAAATTCTGTTTTTCCAACTCAGGGAGTTTTTTTTGCGCGATTACAATACTTTCTTTATACTTCGTATATACGAGAAAGTAAAAAATGAATTGAACCAAATTTACACAGCCAATCAGGTTTATTTTAACATTTGAGAAATAGGTCTAAAAGTTCAATAGCACTTTTTTTTCGAGAATGTGGGCTCGCTACTTTACTATTTTAAAGGAGCATGGTATAAATATGGTGACTGCTATTCATTCAACAATGAAATATCTAAAAAAAAAATAGACAACATGCAAGGTTTTAGAAATTTTATTGGAGTGTCAGCAAAAAAAAAAAAAAAAAGTGAGTGAGAGAGAGAATAAATTATTTCCTTAAATATTTAGATCTAATAATGCACGATATCTACTGTTTAAATAACTAGCATAAAGCGTCGCTTCTTAAATTCGAGTGTAGGTATTCTACGGTATTCAATACACAATAAAGCGACCTACGCTTTTTTTACAAGCTTTTATTTAACTCACTTCCTCTGTCTGTCGACAGTCTGTCGTCAGTCTAGATAGAAACGTAGGAGTGAAAATTCGGACAGTTCTACTTGACCGATACGATTCACAGTTGGCACGTGGGTCAAGACATGAAGACAATGCAATCTGAAACTAAACTTGACTTCATTGGATGCCTAATTAATTTTTTTTGAATTAATTAAAATTTGGACCGAATTAGTAGGCATGTCTAGCCAACCACACCACACGCGTCATCACCTTCAATAGCTGCGCCATCACGTAATGGCTGCGTTCAAAAACCATTGCGCGCCTACTGAACGTGATGTTCAGTAGGCGCGCAATGGTTTTTAGTCATGTAACTCTATTGTAAATAAAACATGTAAAGTACTGAAAAAAAATTCATAAAAAAACGTTTTAATAACAAGCTTTTATGTAATGATGCACTAAAAAGTAGAAAATAAATTATAAACTACTATTTAAATAACTATAAAGAAAAGCGTGGGTGTCTTCCTTAACATTAGTAAAGGTATCCAATAGATACTAAAGTGACCCACGCTTTTCTTTATAGTTATTTAAATAGTAGTCTATAATTTATTTTCTACTTTTTAGTGCATCATTACATAAAAGCTTGTTATTAAAACGTTTTTTTATGAATTTTTTTTTTACAAGCTTTTATTTAACTCACTTCCTCTGTCGTCAGTCTGTCTAGACGGAAACGCAGGAGTGAAAATTCGGACAGTTCTACTTGACCGATACAATTCAAAGTTAGCACGTGGGTCAAGACATGAAGACAATGCAATCTGAAACTAAATTTGACTTAATTGGATGCCTAATTAATTTTTTATGAATTAATTAAAATTTGGACCGAATTAGTAGGCATGTCTAGCCAACCACACCACACGCGTCATCACCTTCAATAGCTGCGCCATCACGTAATGGCTGCGTTCAAAAACCATTGCGCGCCTACTGAACGTGATGTTCAGTAGGCGCGCAATGGTTTTTAGTCATGTAACTCTATTGTAAATAAAACATGTAAAATACTGAAAAAAAAATTCATAAAAAACGTTTTAATAACAAGCTTTTATGTAATGATGCACTAAAAAGTAGAAAATAAATTATAGACTACTATTTAAATAACTATAAAGAAAAGCGTGGGTGTCTTCCTTAACATTAGTAAAGGTATCCAATAGATACTAAAGTGACCCACGCTTTTCTTTATAGTTATTTAAATAGTAGTCTATAATTTATTTTCTACTTTTTAGTGCATCATTACATAAAAGCTTGTTATTAAAACGTTTTTTATGAATTTTTTTTACAAGCTTTTATTTAACTCACTTCCTCGACAGTCTGTCTGTCTAGACCGAAACGCCGGAGTGAAAATTCGGAAACTTCTACTTGACCGATACGATTCACACTGGTCACGTGGGTCAAAACATGAAGACAATGCAATCTGAAATTAAATTTGACTTAATTGGATGCCTAATTAATTTTTTATGAATTAATTAAAATTTGGACCGAATCAGTAGGCATGTCTATCTAACAACACCACACGCGTCAATAGCTGCGCCATCACGTTCAATGGTTTTTAGTCATGTTACGGTATTGTAAATAAAACATGTAAAGTACTGAAAAAAAATTCATAAAAAACGTTTTAATAACAAGCTTTTATGTAATAATGCACTAAAAAGGAGAAAATAAATTATCGATTACTATTTAAATAACTATAAAGAAAAGCGTGGGTGTCTTCCTTAACATTAGTAAAGGTATCCAATAGATACTTTATAGTTATTTAAATAGTAATCGATAATTTATTTTCTACTTTTTAGTGCATTATTACATAAAAGCTTGTTATTAAAACGTTTTTTATGAATTTTTTTAGTTATTTAAATAGTTGTTCATTATTATATTTTAAAAATCGTTAATTTTCTTCTTTTTAGTGCTTTACTAGACTACCCGTTATCTAGTTAGATAACTGTGGGTTTCGGGGGTCATCCATACATGACATCACGTCTGTCACTTATCATCACAAAATAACCAGACCCCACGTTCAAAAATAGACGTTTTTTATATTTTAAAAACACAGATTTCGGCTGAGCATGGGTCTGACCACACTATCCCTTCATATACTGACGTCACAGGTGACCTACTAAACTCTACTTCACCTGCCCAGTGTACCACCAAGACTCAGACATGTTTCTATAGTTTAACCCTTTATCTACTGACGGTACTTATAAGTACCACTTTAATTAAGTGCCTGTATTATTTTTAATTTAATACGTATTTTAAAAATTATTGAAGTAATTAATAGTATTATCTCCCCTGAGTCGCCGATAGTCGGAGGTATCAATGTTTTTTTTTTTTTTTAAATTACTCGTGTGGCGCCATTTTCAATGTCTTGCTATACCGGTAGTTCACAATTTTTCTGTACATTTCTCACACACGTTCTTGATTTCCCTTTGTTTTACCTTATTTTTCAAGTTTTCAACCCCAAATATTTTTTATTGGCACCTTCAATAGCCAGGCAAACGCGTTCAACTTCTAGTTATACAATTTTAATCAAATTGTCTTTGTATTAGATCGATGTTTACAAGTGGACTTATAAGTACCGTCAGGGCACACGGTCATTTTTTTTAGGATTTTTAGAAAATGGCAGATTTTTTTATGCGGAGTTACATAAATATTGTTTTGATAATTAATTATCGAAATGTATTCAAAAATGATATTTACACATTTATAAGAAGGTTAGCATAATGTTTACCTAAGAAATATTGTAATTACATGTTAATTTCTAGTAGTAAAAAAATAACAAGAATAAAGGTATCAGTTGCAGGCTCGTGTACAAGGTTTAGTATACTTTAATTGTATACCAAAGCTTAGTTCTAGTTGTAAGATTTAATTTGTTAGTTATATTTACTGCAATAAACTGTCTTGCCTACAACAACTAGCATTTACGTAATGTATACCTGTAGACTAGCAATAGTCCATACTTCTGCATATAGTATAGATCTATAAGGTAAATTTTAATCAGTAAACAGAGAAGGCCACTACGGCTATCCTAAACACATTGAGCTCACTTCTATTTATGAACTTTGCACTGTAGTGTAGACTTATCATAACATTCTAGTAGGCTACAATTATACTAGTATTACTAGTAGTTGTGTGCTGAATGACTAGGCTTTTGTTTG